CCCCCTGCTTGGGCTCTCGCTCTCCCCACTCCCCCTGGCAAATAAATAAATAAATATCTAAAAAAAAAAAAAAAGCCACTTAAGTCTAAAGAGAATAAAAAGCTATGAATTAGATATATAGTCCTCAAAAGGTAAAAGATCAAAATAAAACTACTGCTGTCCCCCCACATGCATGTTATCTCTAAAATAAATAAATAAAGGGATCCCTGGGTGGCTCAGTTGGTTAAGTGTCTGCCTTTGACTCAGGTCATGATCTCAGGGTCCTGGAATCAAGTCCCACATCGCGCTCCTTGCTCAATGGGGAGCCTGCTTCTCCCACTGCCTGCCACTCCCCCTGCTTGTGCTCGCGCGCTCGCTCGCTCTCTGATGAATAAATAAAACCTTTAAAAAAATTGTTTGAAAAAATAAGTAAAATAAAATCTATAAAAAAAATGGGGCACCCAGGTGGCTCACACACTTAAGCATCCGACTCTTGATTTTGGCTCAGGTCATGATCTCAGGGTCATGGGATCAAGCCCTGTGTCAGGCTCTGCGCCCAGCACAGAGTCTGCTTGTCCCTCTCTCTCTACTCTTCCCCTTGCTTGCTCACTCTATCTCAAAAATAAATAAAATCTTCAAAAAATAAACAAAACTACAAATGATATATTTTACCTATTCCTGGATAGCCCTACAAAAGCTATGAACCATGAGATAATTCTCTGACCTGTGTAACTTACAGAAAAACAATTCAACAACTAATTATAAAAAATAAACCTCATTCCTTCAGTACCTTCAAGGATATTATAAGGAGACCCACGGACTTTTCTAATCATACAGAACTGTAACTATAACTTAGCCAAGTATAGAACTGAACAACATCATCAATCACAACTATTGAGGGCTCTGGAAACATACATGTAAGTGGACTCCCAGAAGGAGTGGGCAGAGAAAAACAAACAAACAAACAAAACACCCTACAGAAATTATGGCCAAAATGTCCCACTCTGGGGTGCCTGGGTGGCTCAGGTTATGCAACGCCTTCGGCTTAGGTCATGATCCTGGAGTCCCGGGATCGAGTCCCGCATCGGGCTCCCTGCTCAGCAGGGAGTCCACTTCTCCCTCTGACCCTCCCCCCTCTGACCCTACCCCCTCTCATGCTCTATCTCATTCTCTCTCTCAAATAAATAAATAAATAAAATATTAAAAAGTCCCACTCTGATTAAAAAATTCTACTACACATCCAAAAATCACAACAAACTCCAACTAAGATATATATACAAGGAGATACACAGCTAGACTCATCATTAAGTTGTTAAAAGCCAAAGATGAAGAGCAAAATCTTGAGATCAGAAAGAGATAATGAAATGTGTGTACAAGGGAACAACAGTAAGTTTAACAGCTGGCTTCTCATCAGAAACAAAGGAGTAGAGCTATACTAGAACAATATTTCCACATTTTACTAAAATTCCATTATTAATCTGAAGTAAAGACTAAGCAACTAAGATGCATTCTGTAATGTAGTGACTAAGAAAATTTTTCAGTTATTAAAAAAAAGTCAATGGAATTAAAATGGTATACTAGGATAAAAGCAGTAAAGGAGAAACAAAAACCAAAAAGGTGGCATATAGAAAACCAATAGCAAAATGGAAGACATAAATCCAAATACAGAATGCCATTAAGAGTAAATGGATTAAATACTCCAATCAAAACGCAGAGATGGGGGCGCCTGGGTGGCTCAGTTGGTTAAGCAACTGCCTTCGGCTCAGATCATGACCCTGGGGTCCTGGGATTGAGCCCTGCATCAGGCTCCCTGCTCCTTGGGGAGTCTGCTTTCCCTCTCCCTGCCGCTCCCCCTGCTTGTTCTCTCTCTCTGTCAAATAAATAAATAAAATTAAAAAAAAAAAACCGCAGAGATGAAACAGATGAATGGATAAAGAAGATGTGTTTTATATATATATATGATGGAATATTATGCAGCCATCAAAAAAGAAATCTTGCCATTTGCAAAGATGTGGATGGAACTAGAGGGTATTATGCCAAGTGAAGTAAGCTGATCAGAGAAAGACAAGTATCATACGATCTCACTGATAAGAGGAATTTGTAATCTCAAGAAACAAACTGACGGTTGCTGGAGTGGTGGGGGTGGGAAAGATGGGATGGCTGGGTGATGGACATTGGGGAGGGTATGTGCTATGGTGAGCACTGTGAACTGTGTAAGACGGATGAATCACAGATCTGTACCTCTGAAACAAATAATACATTGTATATTAAAAAAAAAAAAAGATAGTAGGAAGGGAAAAATGAAGGGGGGGAATCGGAGGGGGAGACAAACCAGGAGAGACTATGGACTCTGAGAAACAAATTGAGGGTTTTAGAGGGGAGGGAGGTGGGGGGATGGGTTAGCCCAGTGATGGTTATTAAGGAGGGCACGTATTGCATGGAGCACTGGGTGTTATACGCAAACAATGAATCATGGAACACTACATCAAAAACTAATGATGTAATGTATGGTGACTAACATAACATAATAAAATGAAATTTAAAAAAAAAAAAACACAGAGGTGAGTGCCCCTGGCTGGTTCAGATAGTAAAGAATACAACTCTTGATCTCAGGGTTCTGAGTTCAAGCCCCACATTGGGCATGGAGCCTACTTTAAAAAAAAAAAAAAGGCAGGGGCGCCTGGGTGGCTCAGTTGATTAAGCGACTGTCTTCAGCTCAGGTCATGATTCTGGAGTCCCGGGATCGAGTCCTGCATTGGGCTCCCTGCTTGGCAGGGAGTCTGCTTCTCCCTCTGACCCTCTCCCCTCTCATGCTCTCTCTCTCTCTCTCATTCTCTCTCTCAAATAAATAAAAATCTTAAAAAAAAAAAAGAAACCCTTAAAAAATAAATAAATAAATAATAAAACAAAAAGGCAGAGATTATAGGATTTGGTTTTTAAATCCAACTATATGCTGCCTCTAAAAGACAGACTTAAGGGCGCCTGGGTGGCTCAATGGTTAAGCATCTGCCTTCGGCTTAGGTCATGATCCCAGGGTCCTGGGATTGAGCCCCGCATCGGGCTCCCTGCTCAGTGGGAAGCCTGCTTCTCCCTCTCCCACTCCACCTGCTTGTGTTTCCTCTCTTGCTGTGTCTCTGTCAAATAAATAAATAAAATCTTTAAAA